CCTAGGCAACCAACATAGGGTTATAGCAAGGTTCATTTCCGTATACAAGCTAGCATGTTTTGCTTTCACTATTGCTAATGATTCAACCTCTTTTCGGTGTGGGGTAGACACTAATTTGATTGAGATTACATGATCTATGTCGGTTAAAGTTAAAGTTACTAAAGAAAGAATAAGGCCAACCACAAGTAATGCACACTATAAAATAAATGATACCAATGGTGTTTGGATAGGATAATCAAGATGTAAGCTAAACTCAAGTAATGACACTAGGTCATTCTTGTTCATTGCATAGTGAACCCGAAGAGAGTCCTAAACAAAATCTTAGGTATATAAATAAATTATAAAAATGAAGTACGTATGAATGAGTGACGTAGATTCTGTGTATGCTAAAGAAGTCTCCCTAATTGAGGTCCCATATGTTGAGCCCTCCTTTAGGAAGTCCTAATGTTAAGTTCGTTATTCCAAAGTATCACCAACAATGAACGAATGATGTATTACATCTGTATGTGCTAAATGATGTGTGGTATATGGTGTTTTCAATATGAAAAGAATGATGATGCATGTTACTCTCATTGCATGAATTTCCTAATCCGATTTGGCAAGTTCAACAGACTTGGCTTTCCATAACTTATATCATTAGGAGAGATATCTTCTTAATCATGAATGTCCTTGGTGTGTACTTGCATACACCCATACTTAGTACAAGTGTATTATAATCCTATACAACCCTTTACTTTTTGGTGCAGGTGCAGGTAGACGCTAGAGCTTACGAGACTATGCGGAAGTTATCCAGATGTGGAGTATTTATTCGGACTTGGTAGGACCTCATGCTTTTGAGGATTCTTATCTCTTATATTCAAGCTTATACCTAGGTATGAGCTAGTGGAGGGTGTTCCACTAGCATTTCTTTCTTACTTAGTTTTGAGGCGCCGTATTGTTTCCTTTTTGGCAACTTTATATTTATGCAATTATGAACTATTTCCTTCATTTGAATATCTTATTATTAGATGGCTATTGTGAACAGATGTGATATAATGTAATTCTTACTATAGAGTCTATGTATACTTCAAAGAAAACAAAAGTTTTAAATTTTTCGCTAAAATTAACCTATACGATGTAATGATGACATATGTAGTCTTGTCTGCCAATTATGAGAGGTTAACGACGTCGGTTTCGACTGCGGTCTAGACCCCGGTTATGACAAATGTGGTATTATAGCATTAGGTTTAATTCCAAGGATAATAATGTTCACATTAACTACATGAGTAGTTTCTAAGTTATAGTAGTGAAGTGCACCACTATCACAAAATTGAGACAGCATGATGCGTAGGAAAACATTCCTTCTTCTGATCTTATCGTGCTTTCCTTAATGCCTAGTCGGGGAAGAGTAGGAGCAGTTACTAAGGGAAACCAAGTTCCACCCCAAGCTCCAGCTGCAGGATTGTCCATGCTAGTTAACTAAGTTGGGTTGACCGATGCTGAGGTGCGGAAAACTTTTGGACCAATGGTTCAAGCCTTTACGGTGAAGGTTCAAGTTATGACGTCCCAGGAAAACAGACAGGAGGTTCAGTGGGAGAACCCTTCAGCCCATATAATGGGGAACAGGTTGCGAGATTTTATGAAGATGAATCCTCCAAAATTATAGGATCTAAGGCTGCATAAGAACCTTAGGAGTTCGTAGATGAGGTCCAAAAGATTGTGGTGGTAATGAGGGCCACAGAGATTGAAAAAGCTGAGCTGGCATCGTACCAGCTGAAGGACGTTGCACACCCTTGGTGCATGATGTTATTCGATAGCAGGGCATAGGGCGGAGGTCCGAGCACATGTGGATTGATTAAGAAAGTCTTTCTGAAGAGGTTCTTCCCACAGAGATGAGAGAGGATGAGGTTGAGGAGTTAATCAATCATAAGCAGGGCTCGATTACTGTCAGGGAGAATTCCCTGTAATTTGTTAAATTGTCCAGGTATTCCACTTCTATTGTATCGAATAGAAAGGATGAGATTGGCACGTTCCGTACAGGGATTTCAGTGGAACTGGAGGAGAAGTGTCGGACTACGATGTTGCATGACAACATGGAATTGTCAAGGCTAATGGTTCATGTCAAGCAGGTTGAGGACAGCAGGAACAAGAGAAGATTCCGTGAGGTCAAGAGGCCTAACCCTTTTTATCAGACAGGTTCCAGCAGTGGTGGTGGCAGGAGCAATTTTGGAGTTTGCGATCATCCCAAATTTAAGAAGGGACATTAGAGTTGAGGGAACTCTAACTCTTTTAGGATTGCAGCACCCAGAGGAGGCAGACCAGAGACCAAGAATATAAATAAAGGTGATGTGCAGTGTCCTCAAAAGAAATGTGGCAAGTGTTGCCGTATTCATAGTGGAGAGTGAAAACTAGGCACAAATGCCTGCTTTAGTTTTAAAAAGAGAGGAAACATGGTAAGGGACTTCCATTGAATAGGGGTCAGGATGGAGGTAATGCTCAGCCTTGGCCTAATCCCCAGAATGCTACTGCACCCGATCCTCCGAAGAGGAACATATTCTACGCCTTTAAGGGAAGAGAGGATCAGGAGAAGTCTGTTGATGTGGTCACATGTATGCTGCATCTCTTCTCAAACTCGGTTTATGCTTTACATGATCCAGGGTCTATGCTTTGTTTTGTGACTCCCTTGCTTTCTCTTACTTTTGAAACACTACCTGAGGTGTTGCAAATTTTATTGTAGTTAGTACTCCCTTAGAAGAAAATGTGAGAGCTGATAGGGTTCATATAGACTGCCTAATAGTAGTATATGATAAAACTATGTCTGCGAACCTTGTATAGTTACCCATAAATGACTTTGATACTATACTTTGTTTGGACTGTCTCCATAAATGTTATGCCTTCATGGATTGTCGTAGTAGGGTTGTGAGATTCCGTTTCCCTAATGGAGTAGAGCTGGTCTAGGAGGGATACAATTTGAGTCATTCATATCCATTGATTTCGAACCTAAAAGCTAATAAAATGATGTCCAAGGGATTGTTATGACATCTTTTGAGTGTCAATGATATAGACCATGAAATTCCTTCCATAGACTCTGTGCCTATAGTGAATGAGTTCAAAGATGTTTTGCTCGATGATTTTCCTGGAGTCCCTCCCCCGCGAGAGATTAATTTTGGTATCGACCTAGATCCTGATACGAAACCAATTTTAATTCCTCCCTAAAGAATGGCTCCAGTTGAACTCAAGGAGTTGAAACTGCAATTAAAAGATCACACTTATAAGGTCTTCATCAAGACAAGCATATCCCCTTGGTGCGCTCCAGTTCTGTTTGTGAAAAGAAGGATGGAACCTTAGGATGTGTATCGATTACTAGCAGCTCAACAAAATCACTTTAAAAAACAAGTTACCATTCCCCAAAATACATGACTTATTCGAGAAGCTCCGGAGGTCTATTTTCTTCTCGAAGATTGATATTCGTTCCGAGTATCATCAAGTTAGGGTTAACTATGATATATCCTAAAGACAACCTTTCGTACCTGTTATTGTCATTATAAGATCCTAGTCATTTCTTTTGGTCTAACTAATGCACCAGCTACATTTATGGACCTCATGAATTGAGTCTTCCATGAATACCTTAATTCTTTCGTCATAGTATTCATTGATAACATCCTCATCTACTCTAAGACCAAGGAAGAACATGAACAACAGTTGAGACTAAACTTGTAGGCACTTAGACAACATCAACTGTATCCCAAATTCAACAAGTGTGAATTCTGGCTTAGATCAAAGACCTTTCAGGGTCATGTTGTGTTCGATCTGGGTGTGGAGGTGGACCCCAAGAAGATTGAGTCTGTTAAGAATTGGCCAAGACCTCTTACTCGCATCCATATCCGTAACTTTCTAGGATTGGCTATTTACTACCGCAGGTTCATAGAGGGGTTTTCTTCCATTGCGGACCCTCTGACAACTTTGACTAAGAAGAAGGCAAAGTTCGAATGGGCGGAGACTTGTGAGAAGAGTTTACAGGAGCTCAAGGAAATACTCACTTAAGCCCCAGTGCTTACGCTGCCTAAATGTGGTGAGAATTACATTGTTTACTATGACACATCTAGGGTTGATTTGGGTTGTGTTCTTATGTAGGGTGGTAAGATGATAGCCTATGTGTCTAGACAAATCAAGGTTCATGAGAAGAATTATCCCACTAATTACTTGGAGTTGGCAGTTGTGATGTTTTCATTAAAGAATTGGAGGCACTACTTGTACGGTGTGCATGTGGATGTGTTCACGGACCACAAGAGTCTCCAGTACGTGTTCACGTTGAGGAAGTTGAATCTACGTCAGCGGACATGGTTGAAGCTGCTGAATGAGTATGACATGAGTGTCCATTACCATCCAAGGAAGGCAAATGTTGTAGTTGATGCTCTGAGCAGGATGATAATGGTGAGTACAACCTACGTTGATGATGAGAAGAAGCATTCGGTGAAGTATGCACACAAACTGGCATGACTAGGTATGTGGTTGATGGCTTATACTAGTGGGGGTGTTTCATTTCGTCCTAGTTTTGAGTCATCCTTGGTAGCTGAAGTCAAGAAGGGTCAGCATCTGGATTTGTGTTGATGAAGTTGAAAGAGTCAGTGCTGATAAAGATGAATGAGCCCTTTACTTTTGGAGGTGACGGCATACTTAGGTACCAGGACAGGATGTGTGTACAAGACATGGATGATTTGTGGACCAAGGTTGTTGCATAGGCCCATAGTTCCAAATATTTGATACATCAAGGTTCAACCAAGATATATCATGACCTTAAGAAAATCTACTAGTGGGATAGTATGAAGAAGGATATTGGTGAATATGTGGGCAGGTTTCCTAATGGTAAGCTATTTAAGGTGGAGCTCTTTAAAAATGGTGGTCTTACTTAGGTGATTAAGGTTCTGACTTGGAAGTGGGAGGCTATTAACATGGACTTCGTGGTTTGTGTTTCAATGACTAGGAGACAACATTAATCCGTATGGGTTATTGGTGACAAGATGTCTATGTCTACCTACGTTATCCCTTTAAAGTCTACGTATAGGGTCGAGGATTATGCGAGAGTCTACATTGATAAGATTTTCAGGTGGAATGGGATTCCATTTTCTATCATTTCAGATAGAGGAGCTCAGTTCACTTCGCATATTTTAAGATCCTTCAGGAAGAGCTTAGGCACGCAGGTAAAGCTCAGTGCTGCTTTCCATCCTCAGAAAGATGGGAAGACAGAGCGCACCATTAAGACATTGGAGGACATGTTGAGGGCTTGTGTGTTTGTCTTCAGAGGTAGTTGGGATGACTATCTGCCGTTTGTTAGAGTTCTTGTATAATAAAAACTATCGCTCCAGCATTGGGATGGCACCATTTATGGCACTATATAGTAGGAGGTGTAGGTCTCCCATTGTGTGGTTCAAGGTGAGAGAGTCATCCATTTTGGGTCCTGAGACCATTCATGAGGCCTTAGTGAAGGTCACAGTGATAAGGGTTAGGTAGGCTCCTACTTAAAGTCGGCAGAAGTCTTATGCAGATAACAGGACGCGGGCCTTAGATTTTGAAGTTGGTGACTAGGTCTACTTGAAGATATCACTTATTAAGGGGGTGATAAGGTTTGGCAGGAAGGGGAAGTTTAGTCCGAGGTACGTTGGGCCATACGAGATTATACAGCGTGTGGGTGAGGTTGCCTATGAATTGGCATTTCTTGTGGCACCAGATTCTGTTCATCTAGTCTTTCATGTCGCTATGTTAAAAAAGTTCCTTGGTGATCCAACATCGATTGTGACTGTTGAAGGTTCGGGGGTTCATGAAGACTTGTCCTATGAGAAGGTTCCTATTGAAATATTAGACCGGCAGGTGAAGCGGCTGAGAAACAAGGAGGTTCTCACAGTGAAGTTATTGTGAAGAAACCATCTTTTAGAGGGTGCTATGTGGGAGGCTGAGGCCGATATGCGATCCTGATATCCTCATCTTTTAATTTCTTGAGATTAGACTTCCAACTCTTTATTCTAAGTTTCCTCATTACTCTATTCTATGTTGCTATATCTTGACAGTGTATAGTACTTATGTTATGATATGACTGGCATTGTGCTACATAATCAGAAATTTTATTTGGGGAAGAGTGTTAATAAGGGAGGTATAATGTTACAACCCAAAAATGACTATGCTAAGTAATGCCTAGCTTACCTAGAATGCCTAGATTAGACTAGGTTCACAAGGCTTGATGCACGCGGAACAAGACCTCAGAACCTATGAACCAGCCATGCCAACCAATTTTGTCAGTTAGTTGAGCTAGGCAAGGTTGGGTCCATCCATGTAGGTCACCCGAATTCAAGATATTCACCCAGATGAGTTTTAACCGGACTTGAAAGGGGTAATCTTAGATTTGGAGGGTCTAGGGGTAAAATGATCTTTTACATGATAAGGCTAGAATTTTAATTACCCTAAATATATGATTAATTAATTAACTAATATAAGGAGTGGACAATTCAGTAGGGTTGACCCGAATTGACTCATTTTCGTGAGAAGGGATTTACCCGGGTTCAATACTTCGTGGAAGAAATATTTAAGTTGAATTATTTGGTATTTAATTATTTTATTTAAGTAAGGGAATTTTAGTCTTTTCACTTAAGCATTGGAAAATCAGATTTTTATTCAAAATAACAAAGATTCCTAGTTTGACTAAGTCCTTCACTAAAACTCCTACTCCTAAGCATTCTATAAAATCTCTCCACTCTCACTCTCACGATTCTCCACTCTCATACTCATGCTTCATTATCAGTATAAGATAAAAATGAAAAGTTCATCACTCTTGAAGAACTTGAATTATAAAACTCAAAAGAAAAACTAAACTAAAAATGAAATGCAAAAACATTGTTCTTGACGGGTGGTGCTTGATGTTCGGTGGGGAGGCTTTCGTGTCGTGGGAGTTGTCTGTCCATTCGAGCAAGTTTGGATGGTGTTTATGGTCAAAAGATATGGCTTTTCTTCCTCTTGGTCCCTTTCCCAAGAAACCCCTAAGATTCAGTCAGTTCTAATATGAAAACTACGAATGTTTCCATGTTGCATGTCCTTGATACTAACTCCCATCGATTGAAGTAGGTTGGGTATGTTTTCTAGTAGAAATTAGGGATGTAACGTGTTTTTGTGATGATTATGTTCATTTATGTATGTTCGGATTTATGTGATTGATAATTATATCTTTCTGAAGTTAAGTGATAAAGTATGTGTGCATTGTGTAGGTGGTAACTCGTTTCACAAATTGAAGTGTGAAAAAGGCATGTTGAATCCTTCTATTTTTGTGCAAATGCTTGTAAAATTTTTCTATGTTCATATGAGTTGTGATGTTGTTGAATTGACTGAAACTCTTGACTAAATGTAACCATAAAAATTCACCTAAAAATGTACGAAATGCTCTTCAAATTGTCCTACAATCTAACGTATAAAATGTAGAGAAATTGGACTGGAAAAAGTAATCAAATTTCCAGATTGCTCGAAATTTGGTTTGGCTATGAAACATGAGGAATTGGAGATTTAAAATCATTTTTAAATAGTTGAGGACATTAAGGATTGAACCCGAGACCTCGCTATATGTAGGCTGCTGAAAATTTAATATTTAATGTGAGGTGAGGGGGACTTGAAATGGGGTAAGGTTGAGTGAAGAAACTAAGAAAAGGGGAAATAAAATAAATTGGGTAGTGTGGGATCGAACCCACAACCCCTTGGATAGGTGAGAGAAGTAGGAGAAAAGAAAAATAAAATGAGGTTCTGGGGATCGATCCCACATCGATCTCAAACGAAAATAGAGAGAAAAGAAAAGAAAAAAAATAAGTGTGGTCATTTGGGATTGAACTCGGGTCCCATGCCTAAAATTTAAGCCATAACAAATTAAATATGAGACTAAGTGTTGCTCAAGGGATCTGAAATCGGGTTCCCTTGATCAATTCAGTATTAATACATAAGTCTTATGTGATTGAATATTTAATGAATGCTGCCTATGGGTATCGAAATTGAGACCTTGGCATATTTACAAGAGTCATAAGTTTTGTACCACTTAATCTTTGGTAGGTATAAGTCACTTAGAAGAATTATAAATGAAGCCTCATGGCTTGCACGTATGTGTTGATAAGTCCAGCGTATGTTTAAAAGTAAGTGAACCTAAGATGTACATGATGAAATGATGTAATCTCATGAGGGTAAAGTAAGAGTGCGAAATACACTAAAAGAAGAAGTGCATTGACATATGATGAGATGAACATTAACTTAATGGTGTGAGTAAATCCGAAGAGCTAATATGAGAAAGTTATTGAGTGTTGTGACAACATGATAAGAGGCTTATATGAAAGACGAGATCAATCTCAAATTAGCCTAATAAGTGTTACCACAAATCGTACTCACCTATGATAGCGTAAAATAATAAAGAGACCGGTCTCTAAGAAACACTCTAATGAAAGTATTGAGATTAATATACACTTAATACTAATGATGAGATGAGAAATCATCTAATGAGCAATGATGCCCTCATGCTAGAAGCATGTTTTGGTTTTACTTTTGCTGGTGATTCCACCTCTTTTCGGTGTTGGGTAGACACTGATTTCATTGAGCTTACATGATCTATGTCGGTTAAAGTTAAAGTTACTAAAGAAAGAATAAGGTCAACCTCAAGTGATGCACACTATAAAATAAATGATACTAATGGTGTTTGGATAGGATAATCAAGATGTAAGCTAAACTCAAGTAATGACACTAGGTCAATCTTGATCATTGCATAGTGAACCCGAAGAGAGTCCTAAAAAAATACTAGGTATATAAATGAATTATTTAAATGAAGTACGTGTGAATGAATTATGCAGACTCTGTGTTTGCTAAAGAAGGCTTCGTGCTTGAGGTCCCATATGTTAAGCCCTTCGTTGGGAAGTCGTAATGTTACGTCCGTGATTCCAAAGTCTCATGGCATACGAACGAATGATATATGCCATATGTATGTGCTAAATAATGTGTGTTATGTGTTGTGTGCAATATGAAAAGAATAATGATGCATGTTACTCTCATAGCATGACTTTCCTAATCCGATTTGGTAAGTCCAACTAACTTGGCTTTCCATAACTCATATCGTTAGGAGAGAGATCTTATTATTCATTCATGTACTTGAATACACCCATTCTTAGTAAAAGTGTGTACTAATCCCATACAACACTTTACTTTTAGATGTAGGTGTAGGTGGACTCTAGAGCTTACGAGACTACGCTGAAGCTATCAGATGTGGAGCATTCATCCAGACTTGGTAGGACCTCATGCTTTAGAGTATGATTATCTCTTATATTCCATATTAGATGTAGGCATGAGCTAGTGGAGGGTGTTCCACTAGCGTTTCTTTCTTACTTATTTTTCAGACGTCGTATCGGTGAAATTTTGGAAACTTTATATTAGTGCAATTATCAACTATTTTCTTCATTTGAATATCTTATTATTAGATGGTTATAGTGAACTGATGTGATATAATGCAATTCCTACTATAAAGTCTATGTATATTTCAAAGCAGATGAAAGTTTTAAATTTTCCGCTAAAATTAACCTATATGATATAATGATAACGTATGTAGGCTTGTCTGCGACCTCTGCGAGGTCAACAACGCCGGTTTTTACTAGGGTCGAGAACCCGGTTGTGACACGTATGAAATGTATAATGGAAACAAATATTTAGGTAGTGCACAAGAAGTTTGATGCATTATAGCTTCTAGTATTTGAGAGGCCTTGACCCATTATTTGTGTTACTACTTTCTAGAAGGAGTTGATGTTAGGGGTCTTTACTCCTAGAACCATGAAGTAAAGACCCCAAACATCAAAAATCTCAATCACAGTATTTGGTTCATTGAACAATCATAAGACTTGGCAAAATCATGAGCATCTTGGTGGATCGCAGGCAGTAATATCCACACTATAAAATCTTATGGGAAGTTTGGATACCACTATGGTACTAACCAAGAGTCGATAAATGATGTGACTCTAGTATTCTCATCATCTCAACCTCGGGAACATAACGACGAATAATCCAATTAGAACAAAAATGAAACAAGATTCTTCCCAATAGAATTTCTTAACTTCAGACATTAACAGTTTCCTTTTGTGGATTCATAAATCCGCAACACTAAATCACTTGAAAAATAGTTAGCAAAGTCTGAGAACAAAGGGATAAGGTCACACGAAGCAACCAATACCATCTCATCAGGGAATGTATTCTTTATCTGAATTCAATCTCCTATTTTGATCACAACTTCCTTCTCTCATTTCGACAAATGATCAACGACTTGATTTTCAATTCTATTTCTATCCTTTACCTGACAATCGAACTCTTGCAACATAACTACCCATCTGATCAATCTCGAATTCACATGTTTGTTAGACATAAGACACCTGCATGTAGAATGATCAGTATGTACTTTAACCTAACCATGAAAATTGGGTCTAGACATCTAAAATTGAATAACCACTACAAGCAGTTCTTATTTTGTCCAAAATAGTCATTTTGAACAATTTTTAATAATTTGCTCACATAGTAAATACGACGAATAATTTTCTCTCGGCTTTGTCCTAATACTACACAAAGTGCTACACAACTTTCATACAACATCACTTCAAATGGTAGTCCACGATTCGGTGAAATAATGATATATGATGAAGTTAACTTTTCTTTCAACTCTCTAGATTCTCTTAGAAGAGCATCATAAGAATAAATTTACACACCTTTTCAAGTAGCTTTCAGAATGGATGTGCAATTTTAAGTTAAACTAATATGAACCTCGAATAAAAACCTACATACCCAAGAAGACTTTTAACAATTTTTACTAAGATAGGTTGTGAGAGATTTTCTATTACCCTTAGCTTTAGGTCTACCAGATTTTTTAC